GCAAAATTTAATACAAACTCGTTGTTGCAAATTCAACTCCATTTTTAAAACTGTAAAAAATCGAAAACACGTGCAGAGGTAGATGTACTCAAGACGACGTAACTTTTACAAATGTCAAGCTATGGCGATAAAATTTGGTGGAAATGTCAATGATAGATGTGGCAACCTAACCAAAAAAAACAGAACTCAAATCAACTGACTCAGAGCATCACTTGGTGGTAATTCCGGGAACTTTTTGATCAAGGTGGTAATATGATTGTGTTACAATACAGTAATAGTGATATGAATAAAATTACAAGTAAAATGCAAATATAATTTATTTCATTTCGTTAAAGCCCTAACAAAGATGATAATTACGAAAAAAAATTGTTTACAAAGAGATTTTTTACACCATGCACTAATGCCGCCGCAAATATTGCACGTTGTTTTTGAATGTTTTTTAAAACAAAAATCTACAGGTGTATTAAAGTTTTCTGGTTTAAAATCTAAATAACCACTTTTATATCATCCATATTTAAATAAATTTCTAAATCTTGGTGACAAATGTGTTAATGATTGTAATTTTAAAATAGAATCTCTTGAATGAAATTTAACTTTTAATTCTAAAAGCATGAATAAATGTTCAAAAAATATTTCATAAAATTCTTTCGTAATCGAAAACCGAGAGTGGCCGAAATTATTAATTCGACGCCGATTCGATGAGTTATTTCTCGCTGGATTAGCAATCTTTTGTATCTATGGTCACATGTATCTTTGTAAAATTAATTTGATTGTGAAATTAGTTTGATTGTGGTCCTAACTTCAGAATGTGACAGTGTAGGTTTTAAAAGACCTAAACACCGGAATTGTTTTGTCACATACGGGCGTGAGATCGAAGTATTTATGTTGCAATATAGCTTCATGTTGATTCTGATACTCGTATTTCTGTTAGTTTTATCATTTTCTCGTCTTCAAGAATGTATGGTACAGATAATATGTACGAGTATATAGAGGCGATAATTCTCTGAAAATGATATTTTGTAGAAAATATCTTTTGTCATGGTTAAATTTGTATTTAACCGTGTAAAAGTGTTAACTAGTAGAAGTATACAAAAGTGGTGAAGTATATTGAAGTGGTGAAGTATAGTATTATACATAAATAAAATTTATATAAAGTTAAATAAAAAAATTTATTTTGTAAACAAAAATTAAAAATTATTGTTATCATTGATTTATTATTGTAAAAAAATGTTTTCTCTTTTTTTTATAGTTTCGACGATATTTGTTTAGACAGAAAATAATATTTCTCTTTAAACGTGCTTGTGAGAATGTAGTTACACAAATTCCCTTATTTTAGTCTAGAATGCAATATATTAGAAGCTCATTAAAATCGAAAACACTTCCGTGCATTTCCTTGTTAGAATTAAGAGGTATGAATAATATTTATTTTTAGGCGCAATATATCATTATTTATAATTATGTAATAATAAGTTATATCATTATGAAATTATTATTATTTGATCATTTTTTAGTAACGTAACAAAATTAATTATGATACGAGAGAATAACATTAATCCATAATATGCAAAAATTTTTATAACATTGATGGCTATAATAACATATCTGATTGTGAGAGATCCTCGGTAAAGCGTTTCCTCGGTAAGGCGTTCCAATTCTCTTTGCGCTATCGCAATATGCAAATCTGTTCTTCCAAAACGTTATATACATAGATATTTATTATGTACATCCATATATATGTATACACACATATTTATGTATACACGTTCGAACGCATACGCGTGGTAATCAGGAAGTAAGTCATTCTGTTTTAAACATTTCAATGTGTGTCATGATGCACAAACATTATATAATGTATAATACACACATATATCGAATGAAATAAAAAATTTAACGGAACTTCGATATGTAGAATATATATACACAGATTCAATGATTTTAACCATTATTATTTCATTTAATCTGTCAATTTAAAAATTACAAAAATAGTTTTAAAATTGTTTTTATTATTCTCAGTTTCTGTAAACACGGGCACATAACTGTAACATTTTAGTTTACTAATTACATGTAAATTTCTTCGTTATCATTTTTACTATAATAAGAACTCGTAAAATTTCTGTTTAAAGTATATATATTATTTATTTAATTTGAGTATATGTATTTTTAATATGTCATACGCATATTAAGAGACTTACTTCCGTTACACGTAGATGCATCGATATCTCTCGTGCACGAAAATTCGTCAGTGAGCGAATGCACTAAGTAGAAAATTATATTGTTCATAAAAATGCTCACAGCTATCATGATATGAACTATTTTGCAAGACATATATATATACGTATATTAATACATACCTAAAACTAGAATTATGAGAACTTTTGATCAGTTATTCTATTAGAATAATAATTAACTTCCAGTTTCTTAAAAATATTAAATATATAATTTATAAGGAAAATATGAAATATATATACAAATATTTATATATAAAATCAGAACATAAATTATTGTGAGCAGATGCTATTGAATATTTTTAACTAATTTGTGACGTAATGCACATGTTGCAGTCACAATATTTCTACATTCACTGGTGCAATCGCTCTACGAACGTTTCACGAGTCTGCCGGTACAATCACGCGCGAAAGCGCGATTGTAGAAAGAAGTTTGATATCTGCGAAATAAGTTATTCAAAAAAGCGCAAATATTCTCGAACGAAAACGAGATCCTTCTCGGCTTTTCGATGTCGTTGCACGAATCACGGGAATTTTCCGGATCGGATAAACGATCGCCGTACTGATTTTATACAACAATGGCTGATTCGCGAGTCCTACGGCTCGAAATCCCGAAATCTTTTTATACCGCTTAGATTTATTCCGTCGCTCGTAAGATTTTCCGATTATGCTAGCACGTAATAATTTATTCATGCGGCTTTTCGTACCGTCGAGACATAGCAATCGCTTATAAGGACTAAGGAACTAGAAATGTCATATCAATTGCGTGATCAAGATATTTGTGAGAAACATAGATAAGTAAGGTTGTTGTTATTTATTATCGCAAATAATTTTAAATTCTTGAATATTAAATTGATCCTATTGATTATTATTGCACTTAAAAAGACTAATGAAGAAAAGAATATTCCAAAGGAAATTATATTTTTCATCTTTTTAATGATTTATCCCAGCATGAATATAACTGCTACATAACAGATATAAATAATGTATATTTACTTATATGTTATACAGTACAATAGTTATATCTGTGTTTACTAGGTTAATTTGCTTGTTATTTCAAGTATAAAAAAGTATAAAACATCAATGAGTAATTTCTTTAAAATACTTTATTTCTTGTGAAATATTTTGTAAATACATAATACAAATATTGTAAATACGTTTTATATCAATTTATACTTATAATATACAATTAAATTTATCCACGCAATAATAAGTTTTTTCATTAAGTAAATTAATAATTAGAAAAATAATCAATATGGATAAATATCATTGTGTCTCTTAAACATTATTCAATTTGGAATACTGCATCATTTAAATAGAAAATTGAATAGCAAATGTCTATTATCTTTTTTCATATTTATATTATATATTTTGAACTTAACATCTTTAACTCTTCTGACAAAATTTTTAAATTGATTTTCAATTCTTCTATTATTTATTAATTATAACAAGATTTTGTTATTAGGAGAAATTTCAATTTGCACTATACAATAGTGACTGTCCAATTTTAGATATACAATCTTTAAATTATTCAAAAATCTTATAAAACTTAAATTAAATCTTATAGTTCTCAAATAAAATCATATTTAACATTAAATACAATGTTAATACGGATTATTATTAAATTCTTTTTTGTTGAACAAGCACTGTTGTACTATTATTACATATAGTATTATTACATATGCAATATAAACCTATTTGCACGATAATAATAACGACAATCACTACGCGAATTGGTGTAAGTACGTCCACTTTTGTGAAAGTATGAAAAGTATGATAAAAAGAATGATAGAAAAGTATGACAGAAAGATTTTTATTTGATCGACATAACGCGGTACTCTGTCTCAGCGGCAACTCAATATGAGAAGCATCCTCTATCTAGATTTATATCCTATTCTCTAGACTTTTATGAAATTGTGAATCATGCATTGTGATATTACTATATAGCCTACCTTGTATATTGTTATTGCTACGTTACAACTACTATACGTAATGCCACACGACTTTCCATTTTTACTTCGACATTTCTATATTTATCTTCATCTCTTCATATGAAAGATATTGTAATAAAATATCACGAAGTCAAATTTGTTGGATTCTTTTCTACCAGAAGAAGAAATCTCAAACTATGATACTTAGCTTTCATAATTTCAAATTTTTTCATTTTAAGGCTTCATGTTTTTAAAAGGTAAGAATACTTATTATATTAATTATATTGTTCTATTCTAAAAATTTAACTTTAATTTTTAATTAAATAAATTTGAGTTATACATATAGTATTGTTTAATTTGTGTTTATATTGGATAGAGATACCTAAAATAAAATATCAGATTTGTCGAATCTATTTGAAAAGCAATTATATGTCTTCTTTACACTAATTGATTAATCTCATTATTCTATATACGAAAGTAAATTAAAATACGATTATAAAAAAAACTAATAATTTTTTTACGAAATATTTTATATTTTATGTCAAAATGTGCCAGAAAAAAAGTATAAAATAAAGTATAGAATATCTTGTGTAATTATACATTAATTATCACATAATTATCACAACAATATGATCATTATAATATTAATTATTATCTATCTATATTATAATTATCAAATTGTATATTATTTAATCAAATTGGTTTTTAATTGAAATATCTTTTTCATAATCTGTTTAAACGTGAAGATTGACAGTGTATAAAAACACTTTTAACTATTAAACTCAATATCTAAAATATTGTATCACCTTATACATTTCGATTCGATATTCGTAATTATGCACGTCATTCTGCAAAGAATGAATTGCAGAGTTCAGATCAAACTTCCTCGACGTGGTCCCGTCGAGTATGAGAAACAAGATCGAATATCTGGTAAAATATTCAGTTGCACCTCCGCCTAGTAGAGATTATTACGGTCTGAAGATCTTTGAAGACGAGGTACTGATGAATTTAAAGTCATCCGCCTTTCTCAAATAATCTTTTCACACTTCTTAGGTAATTCTGTACTTATGGAAAATTTCTCATGGACCTCATAAAGCACCGATCATATATCGTGCCAAGCTTATTAAATTTGATCAAGAAAAATCTTTGCAGAACGAAATACGTCGCGGATTTGGTAAAGCATTTGTTCAAAAAGAATTCCTTGATTTTATCAAATTTTGTTTCAAAATTGCTTCCTGGTTTATTTACTTATTTGCTCATATTTCTATATTTGTTATATTATGAGATTATATATGAGATTACATAATATAAAATTCAAATTAATACTTTTATTTTTCCATAATAATTTCACTAAGCTGCAATTTATAATATTACAGGTAAATATTTATTAAAACACGTGAAAAATATTGCTGAAGGAAATAAAACTCTTTTAACTTTACCAAACTCAGTAATCGGAAAAATATCAAAATATTTGGAGTTCACAGATATACTTAAATTATCTTCAGTATCACATATCGCTTATGAGGTAAAAAAAATTATTAACAAGATTAATGATAATGTAATTTTCTGTTCTCTGCATTTCTGTCACTTTTTTTTAAGAGTTAGTATAGTAAAAACATTACTATACTAATAAACAATATTCTTTTCTGTATTCTTTTTTATTTAACAATATAAAAATAAAATTGAAAATTTTCATTGTTTAGTTCTTTTAATACAGGAATATTAAATAGAATAAATAAGCCATTAAAAAGAAATGAAAATACATTATTTATAATTCTATACTATTTGTAATAAATTAATTGTATTTTTACCAGGTATTCAATACTGATTTAGTTTGGCAGATACTTTATACGAGAGATAAAAAAGCCAATATTAGTTTAGAAGAAAAAGAAAAGGCTATAATCTATGGTTGGAAGCAATTGTACAAAGATAAAGAAATGCAGGCATCAATTAAAGATCAAACGGTACAAAATAATAATTAAAAATAATTAACAAAAATATAACTTTTGATAAAAATACGCAATAAATATATTTTTCAGAATCATCGAATTTCATCATTGATTAAAAATCATGCAAAAACTAATAAATTATTAATAAAACCTATCAGTGATGCACCAAAATCTACCCCCAACAAAATGTCAACGACAAAGAAACGCTTAGAATCTTCGATGATAGATCTTGTTTCAATCCCACTTTCTAAAACAATGTCTGATACTCGATTTCGCGTGCATACAAAGAATGAGAAGCCGTTTCTGCAAAAGAAAGACATAAAAAATACTAGTTCTACATTCAACATGAATGAGAAGAATGTTAAAAAAGATCGTATCACGTCAAAAACGACAACAAAGCAAGAAACTAGAAGTGTCTCTAAACGTAACGAAATATCTGACAAACAAATAAGTCAAACAATGAAATCAAACGAAAAATGCTCAAATAAAATCAACAACATCAACACAAAATCAATGACATCAACACAAGAAAGTAAATTAAAATGTAAAACACAAACTGCTTCTAAAACATCCGTTTCAAAAAATATTGTAGGAAATATCAAATCATCCCCAGTTTCCATACAAAATTTGCATAATAAAACTCAATCACAGACAAAGAGCAAACCTAAGAAGAAAGTAATTGCGACAAAATCTGAGATATTTAACACTGATGAAGAGTTGTCCGAAAACCCTTTTATAGTCAGAGATGACAAAGTCGATCTGGCTAATCTAATTGAAGCAAGTTTAAAAAACATTCGAAGTCCGCGAAGCATATTTGATTATGATTTCAGTTGCGTAGAACAGTCAAACAGAACAAAGGACATTTTAGGTATTAGAAATGAAATTCAGAATATTGATAAATCGAAACAATTAGAACCTATCAAAAGTAGTCTCAACACAGATAATTTTTCTCACAAAATAATTCGGGGTGACGGAATTCTGGAGAAGTTTTCGGAGAAATCTGAGATGTTTAGCGAAGCATCCATTGAGTCTCTTCGTAAAAATTTTTTATCAGAAGGAGACAATAAACCTATTTCACTTTCTGAGAAGTATATGAAAGCCCGGGAAGAACTTCGAAAATCTTTAGAATGGAATCGAAGTGATCCAATATTTTCTCAAGATCGGGATCTAGATAAAAATTTTCAAAATAAAGTCTGTATAAGTCCCAGGAAGATTGTTAATAATAATAATAATGAAAAATCCCCTCTATTCCTAAGAGACCATTAAAAACTTCTTTTCTAAAATACCCTTCGAGCGGTTTAGAGAAAGGAATAAAGTTCTAAAGATATTCAAAAAGGTTAAATTAAATTTACAAATATCACCGAAGATATTAAAAAAGATAAATAAAAGGAGTAATTAGGACAAATTTTAGAAATTAGAAAATTTTTGCATTATACATATACTAAAATGATGTAAACAATTTTAGAATAAATGCTGAAAATAAATATAAATTTTGCAAACATATATAGTATAATTTCTCTTTCTATAAATTATTATAAAGACAAACAGATTACGATTATTCTCTATTCTCTATTCTATATAATAATTCTATATAAAACTTCTTTTTAGATAGAATCTTTACAGAATTTAGAATAAATAAAATTTTTTGTAAAATAATAATTATATATAATGTATCTATTCATAATGTTTTGTAATATTTTTAACGTAATTGATACACTTACAATACATATTAATGTATTGTTTTTAATGTGAAATTAATTTTTCTATGCTTTTGTTTTAAATTTGCAAATTTTTTACTTGAATATATAAAGATAAATATACATAAAACAAAAGGGATTATTAATTTGTTATTGAAAGATTTTAAAATACGGTAATGAAATTTATTTATCTTTATTTAGTACTTTTTAAGTTCATCATTCCTTTGTAGATATCGTAGGTAGATATATGTATATGTATAAAATAAAATAGAGCGTATTAATTTGCATTTGATGATATGTGTTTAGGTACAAGCTTTTCCCTAAAAATTATTTACATTGCATGATGTGTGTGATAACAATAAGGCGTCGGAATGCGCAAATTGTCAATTACATATGCTGACATTCGCTATTTGAAAAAAAAAAGTATTAATATTCTTACTTATTGTTAGTAATAAAGATAAAACACATGTCCTTTATATGTTTATAAGCCTCATTTACAAAATGCATCATAATTTTCAAAAATTGTTAAACTAGCTCAAAATTACGCATGTAATGCTTTAAGTTTTTTATGTGTTTGCCAGAAAAGAAGCAATATAAAGTAATGCCTATCTATGACCCGCATTTTTGTAATTAGCCATTAATTTCAGACTTAAGAGCAGTAATTAATTTATAACTACAAGCAATACTATAAACTTTAACCTTACTATTAAAATTAATTCTTGATGCATCAAAACTGTTGATTACATTTTATAATAACACAAAATAGTAAAAAAAGATCTTTCGCGCAAAATGTGATAGAAGAGTTATACTTAATAAAACCTTTATGTAAAATTTTATTTAAAAATAAATTTTGATGTATTAAAAATTATCTGTATAAGTATATATCGAATTATATCGAAATATATCGAATACATGCTTTCTATCATTAATAATATTTCTTTCTTTCAATCACATTTCTTTTCAATATAATAAATTACACTCAACAAATGACACTTCAATTGAACTGTCAATAATGCAGTTCCATTTTTAAATGCAGTTCCTTATTGTCATTTCTATTCTTAACTTCATCATCGCTGTGTAAATATTAATAATTTCTTTAAAAATTTCAAATTATTTGAAATCCCAATTTCCAAATTTCAATTTTTCTTATTAGCGTTATAGGATCAATTCCTCAATCCTCGATTTGGCGATTTTGGAAAAATTTTTTTCCTTTCATAATCTTTCATATCTTTTCAAGAACATAAGATTCAATATACTTTTCACAATTTAAGGCGCGAATCTGTGCAGTGTTTGCATCTTAGGAATTGACGTGTCCAGCGTCGAATACCGCGAAAGATTTAACAAATGTCGACTTATACATCAACGTTATTAACAAGATTGTTTTCATAATTGACTTCATCGCTTTCTCGGCGTTCGAAGACAATTCGATTTCGTCGGAAATATTTCCAAGAAGAAACATTGCAAAATGTTTCTTTAAAGCAATTTTCAAAATCAATCTTATCTGTTCATTCAAACTACCGCCATGGCTCGGTCTCATCGAACATTCGATCTATGTTATCTCGTAGCATCTTCTCTTGTTCTGAAAAAACGAAATAAAAGATAAATTCTCCATTATTAAATCTCGGCCCTTATTTTAAATTTGAAATCTTTTTAGTCAGAAAAACTCAAATATGTAAAATAATATGAATAATCACCTTTAGTTAAATTCGCTATAATACATTGTTTCCGGAGGAACTCTGTGCATAAAGCTCGTGACAGGCCGAAAGCATGCATGTTGCAAGTAAAAGTCCTGAAAATATTAAAATGAAAATATATCTAAAATATTTAAATATAGATCAAATATTAATACTTACCCTAATTGTCCAAAGACAATATTTGCTTGAAACTTTCTATCTTCGGCGGCGATGCTTTCCTGATCTAAGGATTTCGGTCGAGGTGGTACCGGTCGTGAGGCTCGCTCACATTGTACTGCATCAAAGAAAGCAGCTGTCCAAAATCTCATAGACGTCCATATTGGTTGAACGCGTAAATGTGTATACAAATATTCACGGTAAGGCTCTAATCCAGGAACTTCCACTAAAATCACATATTAAAATAAATATACGATCTTAAAAACGTAGCATATCAATAAATAGTATCAGATAATAAGCATGATTTACAAATTAATAAAAAATACATAGTAATTATTTAATTATCTAATAGTATATATAATCATATATGTTTTTTAGAAATTTATTATAATTCGGTTTAAAGATTACGTATCTTAAATATGTACTTAATATAACATAACAATGTAATATCATATTAGTTTTTAATGTTTGATATTATAATTCTTTCTTTTAAAATATTTCTATGATATTCTAAAATTATCGCAATAATAAAAAAAATAGCAACTTTTACAGAATCTGTCTTAGAAAATTTTTCGTTACCTTCATGATAGAAAGTGAAGCACATGTTCATGAGACTTTTAGCGGGGGCAAAATCGTCCGCTTCGTGACATTCGAACAGTGCGACTGCGAAATGCTGCGCCAAGGAATAAAATGAAGCTTCTGTAACACACGCACGTGCTCTTCTCGCGTTCACTACCCTGGAGAACCATATTCTTCCCGATTCTGTCTGTAAGTTTATTATTACATTAAATTAGAAATATCAAAACAAATACATGTATCTTTCTACTGATTTTAGTATCTATTTTTCATATTATTATATTTACATATTATTGATTGATATCACTAATGTTATTAATATTTTACATATTATTAATTAAAGAGTTACATCTGTTTTTCAAGATGTTTAACATTCTTATATATTTTGTTATAAAAACAACTATAAAATGATGCAATTAAAATGTTTCATAACATTTGATAAATACCAAAACCATCTGTCCAAAATTAGCCTTTTGTTCTTGATCGATAGTATTAGGCGCGTCGAATAGTAAAGGTACAAAAGCTTTCATGAAGTCTGCGGCAGCTTCCTCCGACTGACTATCAGCTGATAAGCTCGAAGCCCAGGATTGAACAGATCCCGACGAACCTAAACAATAAAGTTTATATTGCAGTAGTTGTTACAAATGTTGTAATTTATGTTTGTTTGTGGTATTATTATTAACATTCTTAATTTATAAATAGTTTTTTTAGTAAAATAATTTTTCAGATAAATATGAAATAAATATAAGAATTATAATCGGTACCTGATCTTTGCCATATTCTGCGACCATCCATGTTAGAATCCAGACTAGTACTGGGTCCGTATCCATCTTGATCGCTCGTAGAATCACTACTGCAAGGCATGTCTAAAATAAAAAATTACTTGTGACAAATATATGTTTAAGTGTAATCTTTAACACGATTGTAATTAATGTGTCAAGCAATGGTGCGTCACGGGCGACACCTAAACTTGCAATAAAATCTAATCTAAATGATTTATTGGACAAAAATTAACGACAAAAAGATAAAAATTGACTAAACTATACAACTAAAGTGTCCGTCACTCTTACATAATTATATTCTGCTAATTCCAAATTAATATTCGGCAAAACACGAAAAAAAAATAATATAGATAGATAGATTCGGAATAAAATTAAAAGGTGTCTCTATGATATATGTATACTGAAATTATATTTGAATCAAAACAATATCTTCATACAATATATATCTTCATACATATTAAAATTAATATAAATATAATCAGTAAATGTTAATTTTAATGCACTAATGTAATATGAAGTTTATACAAATAGATATTTTATGCCAGAATTACTTGTCTAGAGCTACTATTCATATCCCATCAACGAGACGTAAAATTATCACAATCACTTATTAACTTGTTAATGTTAAGAAACTTCAAAGTAAAACGATCTAAAGTACAGTGAGGCACACTCGCGAATGATCATTGTTATAATATATGATATTGAAAGTTACATATTTTATACATCCGCGATATTACTTAACTGTCTACACCTACACATCCTTGCGATGGATCGCTCAATGTTGCGGAAATAACTGAAGCATCCAGTAGACGATAAGTGTGACTATTTATCGCAACTGTTACTGTACATAACGGAATATCTTCCGCCCACGTAGAACGGTTCTTTTGAACTATGAATGCAATCGGGGTGCAATAGGCAATTCGTGTGAAAGTATGCACACATATACACAGGTAACAACATCTTTACCAAAGGGATGCAATGTCTGGCAAGAAACTACGAGTATGACGACGCGACGTGTTCGAATATACAAGTGCCGAATTGTATTTTATATGTAACACGTCCAAAAAAATGATAACGCTGAAATAACAAAATTAAAATGCTAGTATTTAATCGCACCTTCTCCAAAATAAAATTTATTTTAAGTTTATTTTCACAAAAAATACGTATGTAACAGAACAATATGTCTTTTCATTTAATGACTTTTCACTTAAACTTTATTATTTACATAATTAAATACACACACAATTAAATTTTGTATATATTATCGTACTACAGTTTAATTTCGAAGAAATGCAATAAATTAAGTTGTACTAATCACATATAGGTCTCTTTTTTTGGATATGTTATATATGTATAAACTAATTTATCTCTCATTTAAGGTGCATTTATTTACATTCTCAATATTCATTATTTATCGTAAAAAAATTATACATATGAATAAACTCGGAATAAAATTAGAAAGTATATAACATACACTAAAATTATATTCGAATTAAAATAATTTTTTTTTTAAAGTAAATGCTACAAAAAGTAAATGCTACAAAATTTGATAAAAAGAGGTTTTTATTTTTCATTTATACATCGCATAATTTAAATAGCACAAAAGAAATTTAAAATAAATTAGATCTATTTAAATATCTTGAATCATCATGAAACGTTTAATTACGAAAATCAATATTTCCAGGTCAAACCACATAAGGTTTCAATGCAATCGACCCACGAATATTCGAACACCAGGTTACGCGAACATATCGATTGCACTAATATTCGCTAATCACATCTAGCTGAGGAAGAGGGGTCAGAAATTCGGGCGTGTGATAAGATTACAATAGCTAAATATCGAGACTTTGTTTAAATAATATGTAATCTAAAGTTGATAATTAATTTTACGAGCTCTACGTGCACATTAAAACTTGAACAAAAATATGTTTCGTAATTGAAGATAACGTTATGTTAATATTTTATTGTTATTGAAGATGTAATAATCTTTTATGGAATTTCCAAGAAATATTTTATGTATTCTTACAAAATTGTATTATTTGCGTTGATCTTTTATATTCTTAAAAATATAGATATAATTTTTATGTTGATGAAAATTAGATATATGTATAATTCTTACTAATATGGAAATTACATTCATATTTTTAAGAGTGCATTTTTCCTTATGTATCAAAAACTTACAAATACTGTACAATACGATTACTTTGTAACAGAGTATTAAGTAATATATACCAATTGATACGTGCACGTATTTAAATATGTAAAAGTCTTGACATTTTAAGCTGAAGCATCCCTACGTGTAATACACTGAGGGGACACGCGAGTGAGATCACAGGGGCAGTCCACACTGACTGAGTTACATTTACCTAAACGGAAAACAACCGTCTGATAGCGGGTCGGCGCCCTCGCTTCGTGAAAGAAAGAAGAACACAGTATATTATTTCCAGCCGAGTCTCGGTAACTGCATGATCATAACAACCGCGAGAGAGAGAAAGATACCAATCGTCGTCGAAGACGAAGAGAGTCATTGACTTCGACTTGGTCGACGCTGTCGCGGATAACTGGAGGCGAGAGCTAATCACCTGCTTTGTAATTCAATTTCTCGTAAGGATCGGGCCCGGTCGCTTTGATGTCCTGCTCCTGAATGGGCTCTATACTTTCCTGGCTGTCGCGATCAGGACTGATATCGTCCTGTTCAATTCGGTTCTCCTGTTTCTTACTTGAGACTGATCTGGAGGATGCTATCTCTTCGTAAGTCATCCCAGGCGGATATTTTCGCGTTCTGGAAAGATTGGCGCTTCCCTGTCGTTCCAATTTGTGTCGCGCTATTGCCTCATAATCCTCGTAGGATAATCCCGCGCCAAATCTACGAATGAAATATTGCGTGTCGCAATATAAATATTCATGAGTAGCAAAGATTACCCTTCTTTAACAAGTGTAAATCCATGCTATAGTGCGTACGACATGTTAATAGCTCAAGAAGATGTTAATAGCTTACTAATAGTTGCACATATAATTAAAATTTACATTACAAGAAAATCATATAATTTTATGTATGTATGTCATGTACAGACTAGCAAATACCTAATTTTAATTCAGCAAATTGCATAGCAAATGAAATTAAAGCTGTATAATAGCAAATATGAAGAAAATGTAATAAATTTAAAATGTGATATTACTTTTAATTTTTTTTATATGTTAGACATAATTTTTCTAAATATTATCTATAAAAAAATAAAAAATATATTAATAATAATGAGTTAGAACAAATAAGTGCTTATATACAATATGTAAAAATTATTCACGCACATTTTAATAGTATAGAAATTGATTTTAACTCTACAAATGAAGGATTGTTAATTTGTACAATTGAAAACATTAAACTCATCTTATTGAATAACACACTGCAAAGTTTACAGATTCAACATTGCCAAGTTTACAGTTTACAATTTCTACTCTCTTAACGTACATACATGACCTAATTATTATAAGGCATTTAGGATAACAAAACATTTACTTACCTCGGAAGCCTGAGTTTCCGCCGTCCTAATTGCTCTTCTGTCTTGATAGGCTGCAGTGCAGGTGCTTGCGGCGATGATGATGGCGTCGAAGGGGTTGTAGTCAGTTCGCTTTCTTCTAAGCTATTGCTAAGAGCGGATCCTATTCTGTTCCCTAGGCCCTGAAGATATTCCCCACTGTTGTAACGTCTACCATATCCTGGAATAAGTACGTCATACGTAAATCGCAATTAACCCTGTATTTTCAAGAGTCATAATGTAGTAATGCTGTCGGCACCTCTCGTACCTAGATAACAAATTATTTGTACAATCAATTCATAATGAATCAATTAATATATTAATATCTGATTAAATAGTATTTAAAAGATATAAATGTAAAAAAAATAAAATTTAAAAATTATAATGTTTGAATTGCATTCAATAGATAATTGCATACAAGAGATGATGAAGATGCTGTGCTGTGAGTATTTGAAAACGCAAATATTTATCATATGTTCCCAATTTTAATTAAAGCAACGAGTGTTTAATACCGCAAATAGAATAAGCCTAAACCCAAGATAATATCATAGAATTGATTATCAAATTAATAGATAGCCTTTAAAGATTCAATTTTTGCTTTTTTGAATAGTTTATGTGCAAAGTATGAATAGCACTCTTGCTCTTATAAAAGTGCAAAATTAAAAAATATAATATGAGAATTAGTTTAATACATAAAGTTAGACATATTTTTACGAATTTTCCTAATTTATATTTACAAAGTAACTCGTGCACTTTTAAGCCATAAATAAGTAAGAAGCAACAAAATTTTTTAATTTTAAAATACGTAAGATCTTCCATAAACTGAAAATGGAAATTAATAAAAATCAAATAATAAAGATAAAAGATATACTACTACAGGCACAGACTTTTTCGATATATATAAATAATATCATATTTTCTTATCAATAATAATAAATTTCAAGCATAACGATAAGGAGAATAAGACCTAATTACGCATATGCATAAGCATAAGGAGAAATTCTAGTAATTAGGTCTTATTCGACAGACCATGTTTGAATGCCGATCATGAAAGGGTTTCTAATTTGCTGAAGTAGTTTACACCGGATTCCTATTACACATTCCGACGTTTCAGCAAAGTAATTTGCGAAACTCGCGACCTACCTCGTCGGTTGGTTGTAGGCTCAATATAGTCCTTGCGAATAAGCCTGAAAGTAATCTCAGATAAGAGACGTAAGCTTCATTTCCGATGTATATAGGCCACTACCGACCTCCTCATCTATGTGCACGTGTACGCTATACGTAAAACGATAATAGTGAATCGTAGTAAAAAGGGAGTTGAAAAAAGATATGTCGAAGTGATAAAATTTCGAGGTCACTTAAATTGTTTGAACTCGTGCTATTTTATTTAAAATAAAATGAAATGGAAAATATTCAGAATACAAAAATAACAACGAGTAAATAGTAATAAATAGTAATTTGCATTACGTACAATTTTTTATCACGAGTAGTTGGATTAATCATGAGAAATCTTCTGTACTGTCATATGAAAAAGCTTTATGTTATTAATTTCTTATTCTTTACATACATAAATATGTATATTACTAATTACTTTATAAATATACTATTTTTATGCCAACTTTGTTACTATACAAAATTAAAATGTCGTTTTGATTATAATTATATATAATTTGGAAAGTAAACTTTTATTAGCCCGTAAACTTCCATCGCCTACTAGTGCGTGTTTAGAAATAATAAGTGAATAAGAATATATATCCTAACGAAAATAAAAATTGTAGCGTAAATCTAACGTAAGGAGAGAGTAAACTAAACTTCTAGGAAGCGAAAATTGAACCAACGAAATATAAAAGAGGCTTTTACGTTTCTTTTATGTTCCGTTGTTTCAATTTTCGCCTCCTAGAAGCTTCGTTTACATTTCTGTTACTCTTCCTTTACATTTGACTTTACGTTCCGATTTTTATTTTTACCAGAGTATACGTTTATCAATTAATTTATCAACAACATACAATCACAATAGATCTAAATGTATTTTGCTCATTCATCCAATCACACATTACATTAATTACACGCGACCTTTTGCATTCATGTGATGTGTGTGCTTTACACTTACATTAAAAAAAAAGAACGCGCGACATATCACTAGGAAAGGGCATTCCATTTATATCGTGCTCTACTTTTTTACTGACAAAGAGTCTTTAAAACGATTTATTTATTCCGAGAGCTTCCGGAAAACGGTAGGTATCGTGAACATATAAATATACACTTTATAAACACAGAATAACTTATATTCTCGATGTTATCATAAAATACATCTTCCTTCAACGTCTGTCGATAAATAAAGGAATGATATAAAACAAGTTGAACTAATAAAATTAAATCGTGAAAATCAGATACTGGATGGTCGTCTATTACTGACTGAATATATTAAACTGAACAGGCTTTTATAATCTTACGTTGTGGTAACACCGCATATGATATAAAATCAACACGGATATCCTTTATGGCTATTCTTAGCCACTGCATACAATTTTTGGTATACAAAATCCGGTTCGTTATATTCCAACTGCTTGCGTTTGTAAGAATTTTACCACTATATAATTATATAATTTCAACATTATACATATAACAATAAATAATAATCATTCAAACTATCAATGCACTTAAAAACATACGAGTTTCGCTTAATAAAAATTTAATTTACATTTTAACTGCACAATTGATATAATAATTGTGACAAACAAAATATTTTACTATATAAATATATGTAAATATCTTTTATTTACTCATTATTGTTAAAATCTTCTGTTACAAAATTTCCCGGTTATAACTTTAAGACTTTATTAATACTATATTTTATTAATATAATAATTAAAAAGAAAATTAATAAAATATAACATTTAATATAGAAATAGTTGTAGGAAAGAATGGCGCAATAAATAATCATCGGAATTTATCATACAAAACCGCAAATAAAACTCTTTTCATAGTGTCTAAAGATAGATCATCGATTGCGTCCACATGTCTACAGCAAGTTCGACGCCGCGAGAATTTCCGATTAATGTGGGCAATGCGAGGCCAAAAGCATATATAATACCCATTAGGAACTCTGTATCAATATATCTCAATATTCGAAATATAGGCATGTAAACGTTTTAATTTTGAAAGATCATAAATCGATAATCGAAAAATTCAACAATTTTAATAAAAAAAAATTATCAACGTAAAGAGTAAATGTATGTCAAAAAACTATAACATAAGATATTTAGAAATTTATTTAAAATTTATTGTAAATCAAATATTTTCTTTCTCTTTTTTAGAGCATATTTATTCTTTCTAAGAATAGATATCACCAGGAATAAAATAATAAAATAAGCAATAGAAAATAAAAGAAAATTACTATTTAAAGAACTAGAACTAGAAAATAATTTTATTAGTTTACGTCCTTACGGTTTATTAAGACGTATGCACGAAGAATAATATACTGGCAATGACACATCAAATATATTCTCGATAGTATTAGAATGAGACTAGATGCATATTAACACATAGGAGATATAAAATTTTATATCAGTAACATAAAATTATATGTATGATAAAATACTACAAGGAGCAATGATCGGCATAAACAGCGGCAAACAGATATCAATGAAAAATTATTATATCAAAGCAGATGATGCGGGAGTGAACGATATCGAACGGCATATGGATGACAGTATTTCACAATGGAATACAACTGCAATGCAGCGTTATCTATATTATGCAGTTCCGCGCTATGCGGGACATGCGGACATTCTTAAATATTAAAATCACAAAAGAAAATGAGACAGAAAAAGGAAAAAGAAGTTTTTCAGCGCATTTGTAAATACAACGACAAAAATACGGACCATAAACGTAAGTGCAACAAAGTACGATATTTGTCACTCGGCAACATAGCGAAACGAATGCGTCGGGTCAATGTAGCTAAACATAACTGCAAACAGAACGGATAACGGTTTTGTCGTTGTCCGGCGAGCAGTAAATTATCAATGCAAAATATAATCCAATATATTCTGCATGCGAAAAATTATAGTCGCAAAAATATTAAAAGAGAAACGCGAATAATGCTTAATACATGTTGCGACAGTAAATTTGCGTATCGAATTAGCTACACGATTATATTCGTCAAAACGTAAGCTAAAATTTGCATTGGTTTGAAATATTTTAAATTCCATTAACTCGCATATTAACTTTCTCGGCTCTTAAAACATATTTTCCAACATTCTGCATATTAATTTGTGCTTGCATTACACTATACAAGTATAAAAATTGTGAAATTTGTGTGGTATGTTACAAAAGAGGGCCTTAAACATATATAATCTACATTTATCACTCTTCAAAGAATTATTACGTTAACACTCAACAAGTTATTACGTTGATAGTAATTAATAACTTGTTAGATAATTTATACATCAGTGTCAAATTAGATTTATAAATGCGTAAATATTTATTAATTGTTGAATAATTATAATATACCAAACAATTTAATCACAATTTTGACTCATCACACCATATAGTGTTATAGTGTTATAGCAATTAATCGTGTGCTAGAAAAATTAAAAAGTTAGGAAATACAAACTAAAAACAATGTGACAGAAACGTTCTTGTTAAATAGACTTTCACATATTGTTTAGTGAAATACAATTTGAAGTATATGTGATTTGCACATCAAATGCGTATATATCAAATATATCGTAAAATAAGAATCGTCAATGATATCGAATCAATTGTTATATCAATTACAAAAGAATCGGTAATAAAATCGTTATTTAATTAATTATGTAAAGATATTAGTTATCCGATAAAAATATTAATTAGATGTATGTAAAATAACTCACTCATATAAGATAATAAATAACAGTTACGTAAGTTTAGCTGAATTTTTATCTAAAATTCGTAGTTAAAAAACATATGACATCTTATTATCACATCAACCATTTCTATACAATAAAATCGAAAAACATGCAAAAATTTGAAGCTTCAAATATATTTACATATTCGAAAAAAGTTACTAAAAGTAAAATCTTAATCGAATTTGTGGTGATATTCAGTAAAGAAATTGTACTAATTACAGTTCAAAAATTTATAAGTACTTTTTAATTGAAAGTAAAATAATATATTACACGAAGAGCACTAAAAATAGATAATGATAATTTGCAATTGATACAATAAGCACAGCTGTCAAAACAAACGACACGCTATTGTTCTATAAATTACGTTTTATTGATCAGAGTAAAAAGTAATCGATGGTAGATTCTAAACTCAAAGATATCTACTTGAAAAATTATTATAAAAAACAATATAAATAGATAAAAAATAAAATAAGTCAATACATCTGTTGGAGCTTATTGCGAGCTAATAATTCGAGTTTTGATATATTCTTCCAATTAAATACCGTGGAGGAATGAAGTTCGGGATCACAGACAATCACTATCACCTTCGTCGAATGTTTGTACAAACACGTGCAACACTGCTCTTGACATACTACTATGGACTTGCACTATCGCGAGCTTTGCAGCTACCTCAGGGCCCATTGGTACGTAACGTTGCATTACCCCTCCAGACGTACGATCGGATTAATAAAGGCGCATGCGTTTATCGCGATCAATACAACGTCTCGATTTACCGGCACGTTGCGATTAATTTCAGTCGTGAAGAAATTTGCCACCATACACCTACTGGCAGTCGATACTATGCCAGTTAACAATAAATTATTCGACAAAAATATTTCCATATATTAGAATACATTTAGTTGGATAAGCATAAAAAAATGTAAGTTAATAAGATATCTACGCTTTAATCAGAAATTTTTATTATGAATAAAATAATAAGTTTTTTCTTATTTAACTATAAAAATTGTAGCGCCGAATATACAAAATAATTAAACAATACGAATTTGATTAAAACAATTCTTGAATTATGATACACGAACAACTCGATCGCGCTAATTGTAAGTGATGGAGCAAAATAACCGATATGCAATGTTTCAGTAAATATATCAATATTAATAAAAGTGTCTCTCATCAAAATCCATATTATAAATGAATTCCATATTATAAATGAATCCATATTATAAATAAATCTATATTATAAATAAATCCATATTAAAAATGAATCCATATTATAAATGAATTCGTAGCGTTATGAAATCATGAACATCCGCTACTCGAGCGCTATTTAGTAGATACAAATCTACACAGAGAGAATTTTCTTTTAAAATTTACTCTGAAAATATGGTAATTGTGGTACAATATGATATTTGAAAGATTTTTACCATGCACTTCAATAAAATTAACCAAACTTATTTTATACTTTATTGTAGTTTTATTAATGAATGAGAGAGAGATTTACATTAAAATTCTTCTAAATACAATGTTGTCCCACGACTATCATATTTTCGGGGTAAATTCTAAGAAAAAATTCTTGAATCATGCACGTCTTTGATTCGTCATTTACAATTAGTATAAGCATAATTAAGTCCCTTTTGTACTATGACTCATATGCTAAAATCAGGATCTTTTATTTATACATAATTTGAAATAATAAATCAATGAAACAGAATAGTCATGCGAACGGAGTTTCAAATTAGACAAAAATTTCAAATTATAGGTACACAAATATGACAAAAGTGCATGATTAATTCTTTTTACAAGAATTGTTGTGCTTAAGTTATAGCTTTTTATTGCAAGAAAATTTACAATTTATAAGTGCAGTTAACAAATTTTCTAGAATATATAGTAGATAGGTATAGTTAGAAAATTATGTATTCATATGGACGTGTATACTACAGTAGCTTTAGCAGGTAGAGATATCCTCTTCACATCAACTAATTTCCTATAAATGCAAAAGAATAAACATGAATTATTACTAATTGATTTATATGAAATGTATTTTTTATAGCAGTAGTAGTTCTGTCTAAACAATTTCTATACAAACTAATTAAAAAAAAAAAAATTATTTATTTTGACATTAATTAACTATTTATATTTGAAAATACGTAAACTGTACCCATGTTTCACTTTAGAACCCATACTGGAGACTTTGACCTTTAATATTGAAGGAAGTTCTTCTCGTGACAAATTGACAACTTGTTGTTCATCATCACTGAAGTTAATCAGAAGTAACACGACGCGGCTACCATTGTTTCGGATTATACCTAGAACAGTGTCATTGTTTGTCGTAATTGATTTATAACTTCCTTCAGTAAGGGCCGGTTCTGTACGGTGCATATGGGCTAAGGTCTTGTAAATCTTATAGTGCGATTTATCGGCTGCCATCTGGTTCGCCAAATTCAATTTCTTATAGTTTTGATGTACCGGAAGCCACGTCGAATTTGCTGTACTGAAACCTGTAATGATAAATAATTAAATAGTAAGATTTTAGAAAAATATGTTATTCGTTTTACTAAATACACTAATGGTGGACACAAATTTATCCTTTACCTGCATGTTTCGTCGCGTCCCATTGGAATGGCGTGCGTTCAGGATCACGGGACGTACTCTTAAATTTATTTTTACCCGCAATACACCCTTGAGGATCCTGCGTATCTTCCCAAGATATATCTCTCTTGTCCACCATGCCAATTTCTTCACCGTTATATGTCACCGCCAAGCCTGGCAAGATCATAGACAACATGATCATTTGATCCGATCTGTTAGGATAACGAGAGGCAACTCGGGGATTATCGTGATTTCCCATCTGAAAAAAAATTTATATGAAATTATTGCCTATAAAAAAAAAGCGAATTCTTATTTTTATGGAATGCAAGATAAATCTGTTATAGATTCTTCAATAATTTTAAGATCTTTTAAAAAAATTTCTTATATTATATAGATCCTTTTATACCTACACATAAAAGAATAAAATAAATAACTTGCAATTTAGATCTTTTCTATTCAAGTTTTAAATTGATAAAATTGGTAGATTATATATATATATACATTTAGATAAAAATTTCTCGTAATTCTTTGACAGTACTTCTGTTTCATATTATTCATAATTAAAAACTTAAAGTATTTGTCCTTAAATATTAATTTAAATACTGTTATTGTTCTTAAAAATATAATGCAACGCACATATAGTATATGTATATACAGCTTTACAAATAAGGCAAGACTCATACATTGCCATTTATATCATAATTAATGTACAACAACTTAAGCATCTTGCTGAGTTTTGTAACGTTAAAACTATTAAATATATGTATATATAATATTAAATTATTTTATAATGTCTTCATTAAGGTAATGATAACTTCATTCATATAAATACGTACCGCCCAATTAGCGATTTTACCTCTTGGCATCGAATTCATCCATAGATCTATTTGTTGTTTAAATTCTTGCGCAGACGATGTTGCGTTCACATTTGTAATAAATTTGAAATTAAAGGGAATTAAGTCGTAATTATAATATTGCATAGTGTGCTCAGGATCGCTGTACGCCTCCATCAACATCAACTAAATCAGAAAGAAAACACTTTATAACATGTATAGAATAAAACACGATAAATGGTTTGAATAAAAAAAAAGAAACAGAATGTCGTATATCATTTACCTTCTGATTCTGATTATGTTTTGAAGCATATGAGTCCATGAATTTTCGCCACTCTCCAAACAACTTATAAGTATCGATTAAATCCATGGTGTAAATATGCTTCAAGTACGTATGCTCTTGCAATGTGGCACCGTCTATGTTACTTTTAGGTTCGTCTCGCAATTCTGAGTCTTCGTAAATAAATGGGGCCGAATCAACTCGGAATCCGTCTACACCCAAATCCATCCAAAATTTCAAAATGTTCTGTAATTAATCAAAAATACTTTTGAAAATTGTGAGAATTAATAATTCTGCAATGACACCTTTTTATTAATCCTCTTATACATATCTTTTAATTATAAAACTTGCACAAATTTACATTTCGACTTTAATTTGTAAATACAAACTCATTTTTACATTTTTACATTTTCGTACAATATATGTTTCAAATGTTAAATAAAACAGTTTAAATAATAAATTTAAAAATTAAAGGATATACTATATAATAAAAAATTAAGACCAATAAATTCTTATAATAATGAATTATATAACTTATTGAACTAACTTATCTTCATTGTACTTCATTAGTATTCATTGTACTTCCATATTATACAATCAAAAGAAAACAGTGATCACAAATAGCAGTTGAAGGATTTATGTCAAGCTTTTATATCAAACAAATAATTTGAATAAAAAATGTTTTTACACAAATTAATTAGCGTTCCAATTGTTGCGTTTTAATTATTATTAGCCCTCATTTTTTCGCTTTAATTTTTGACAATTTCAAAAGTCATAAAAATTTTTTATTAACCTTTTGTACTAATAAAATATTAATATATTTATTTAATTATATTAGTAATATATAATAAAATATATTAGTAAGAATAAGATTTATTCTTACAGTTTATTAAAATTGTAAATCTTAATATATTATTTTTATCAATAAAAAGAATAGAATTAAAAGTGTTTTGAGTTATAGGATTATTTTTCAAAAAGGGTACAATATATAGTAACATTAAAAAAAAATTTAAACTTATTGATACTTACCAACATCTCCTTTCTTACATTAGGATTACGAAAATTTAAGTCGGGTTGTCTATACTCAAATTGATGTAGATACCATTGTTTTTGTGATTCTACATAAGTCCACGCGGATCTACCAAATACACTAATCCAATTGTTAGGTGGCGTTTTGTCATTATTTTTGCCGTCTGCCCATACATAATAATTCTTGTACTTTTTATGACCTTGAAGAGCCTTTTGGAACCATATATGCTTATCAGACGAATGATTCGGCACAAGATCGAGAACCACCTGTAAAAATATTATAAAATAATTCCAAAGTAGCAATAAAAAGTAATAAATAATAAAGTGTTTTTCTTTTTAAATAAAATAAACAGTCAAAATCTTATTGACACTTTTTATCTAAATGTAATTATAATACAAAAAAATTGTATTTATAAATGTGCAAAATATTAATCATCGCACTTTTAGATCGAGTTCTTTAGCGCGCGCCAAAAGAGTTTTAAAGTCTTCCAATGAACCAAAAATTGGATCGATGTCAACAAAATCGGATATGTCATATCCGAAATCAACCATGGGACTTGTATATATAGGCGACAACCAAATCGCATTGATGCCTGTTTTCGCAATATAATCCAACTTTGAAGTTATCCCTGACAATGCAAAAAATATAGATTTAAGTGTCGTCGTTGTTATTATGCTCGAATACTTTTCAATTTTCAAATAATAAATATTTTCAGATTAGTAATATAAGACTGCAACAATTAATCCAGTAGAATTTGTATAATTGTTATATATATTAATTGAACAATTTGTTATTCTTCATTAAACCGGACATAACAGCAAGTGATACAATTAACATATGCTTACCCTTTAAGTCGCCTATTCCATCGGCATCCGAGTCATACAAACTTCTCGGATAAATCTGATAGAAAACGGTGTTATTCCACCATGATTTATTTTGAATCTTAGCAAAAGAACTGCTTGCAAGGAGCAAAAGAGCACACAAACGAATCGCCCACGACATGATACTGACGTTTGTACTTGTCGAATCTCAAAATTGTTTATATGTAACAATGGCAAAAGGAATCGATATCATTTCCTTATCGATTGTGCTTGACAAAATTACGCTGTCTCAACGTTGCATTCGAAAAGAAATAAATAAAAAGTATTATTAATACATTAAATATGACAGAGAACGCCATTATTTCGGTTAAAATTAGATGTTTCAAATAATACGATATATATAGTTTATTAAATCTCAGTCTGCCGCAACTCACGTAAAGGAAGCACAGCAGTGTCGCTGCGCTTGGCTTAGCGCCCGAGACACTACCGTGTCTCCAGATAAATTATTTCAGATATGATTGCGCGCCGATAACTTTCGGTCTTTCAACACACAATCAGTCTGAAACGGTACTACTCCCCCTAAATTCTCCCTAAATTCCCCCTAAATTAAATTAGAAAAACTGTAAAGAACTTATTTTGAAAAATATTACCTTAGCTAAGGTTCGAACCTCTCGACTTTCCTAGACGAGTGTCTTAGCCAACTTGGCCCACTGAGGCTTCGAAAATATTCCTCGCAATAACTGATATATATAGAGAGGACGCGTTATATGGCCGCGGGTGTGTAAACATATACGTATATTCTTTAGAACGGTCGTACATAATTAAAATGTAAAATGTCGTATGTTCTGACTTAATTTGCGTGCTGCAAATGTATTTTGGTGGTTCTCGTTTATATAACGAACCACATGTCTGACAAACATCATTAATTTTTCAATTTTTCAGATCGAATAAAAAATAATAAATACTTCTTCCTCTTGTATTAGGACAAAGTGCCCTGTTTTTTCTGTCTCTATCGAGCTTCTTGTGAACCTGACGTTCAATTCTCGTGTCAGCGCTTCGGTGATCTGCCTAATGGCCAAGTTATGCTTGACCTATTTGTTTTCACCCATTTTGCTATTCTTTCCGGGCCCATTCTATCAATGTGGTCTCCATTCGCGTCGCCGCGCTTTCGTCCATCTCACTATGTCTTGGATCTTAAGTTCCCTTCTTATTATCTCACTTCTTATCTGATCTCTAAGGGTTACGTTGGTTCGACATCGATTTCATTGTTATTTCTCACTGGGTTTCATCAAGAAAAATTAAATGAAAAATAATGTTCTCTTTCATAAATATAGTATATAATAAAATATATAATAAAATATAGTATATAATAAAATATAGTATAAATCTTACAGATTTTTAAATAATATAAAAAATTGAACTCACAGTGTATTCAATCAAACACATAAAATATACATACAATTAGGAGTGTTCGGATTCTCACCCGGGTGTTATGTCATCCTTGTTTAACATTCGGTATATAACAAGAATGGAGCGATATCTGGGTGGCACTCGGGTAGGAATCTGAACATAGCCATTGATGTACGTATTAACAGATGCACAGACTTCTATAATTAGATTGCTGACTCAATATGACAGAAAAAAATGAATCTGATTACAAAATGTCCTTGTTTTAGTTCACACATGCGTATGATAAAATATGGATAGAGCAGTGGAACCATTTGGATGATGATTAATATATGTATATATCTGAAATGTACTTTTTTTGCTATTTTTTTCAGTTTCATTAAAACGGAATACATGTTGATAAAGGCGAAGATTTAAAAGGAGACTTCAAACTTTTTGGATGACAAAATAGAACAAAATTTTTTTTTAATGTAAAAACGAAATTAAGAAGATATTCTAAAAATAGCGACTAAACTGCTTCTTTCTTCCAACACATTGTTTATAAAACCATATATTGCATTCTTGGCAGCACCAGAAGAATTTTACGCATATAAAATTAGTTCTAGAATTCATAAAGGAAACTTTTTTTAATTATAATTTTGTCGTGTATCCTCTGAAATATGATGCTAATTAATAATATTTATTTTCAAAATAAAATTTCAGTGTAATATTTTAATGAAATTTTCTCCACCATTATTACACTATTCGAATTTACTTATTGCATTAGTAATATATTTTTATGCGGGAGGGAAATGAGGGAATTCCTTAGCCTTTTCAATGACTTGAAAAAGTTACATCTAATACTTGATGGTCTCTTGTAAGCTCCAATGAGAGGTGTCTCCGTCTTGTTGTATCATGATATTAAAATGTAAGATGTAATTTACAGGAAGACAAATAGTTTTAGCAGGTGCAGATGATTGTCAAAGAGCATTGGTTTTACTAAAAGGTTGGATAATCTTATGCATAAATCTGCATCAAACGTGACAGACTTCCTTCTGAAAAATATCAGGAACATTTACTCCACCAAAGTACCAAACATAATTTTGTTTTGCATAACCGAATTGTAACTGTTATTGACATCATAACTAACGGTATGCTGCAGTGTACTTAGAGTGAAGTGGAAAATCTCGATATCCTTCATACTATTAACGATTTTCATGTAAAAGTTTATTAATTTTTTGTTAGAAATTTTTTAGTTGTTATTTACAATCAAAGTACCCAGAATTAACATATACATGCATTTTCAGAGTTGGGAACATTATATATACATATTTTATAAAAACAACATGTTACCGTTATCACTATTTCTTTTAAAAAGTAACTCAATCGTTACCACTGTTGTTACTAATTTTTAAAAATAACAATGTTCCTGTTACTTAGAAAATAACAAATTTTTTAAATTATCTTTTTTAATTGTTACTTTTTTGTAATGCAAAGAGACATTAGATTTTAAAATTGTATTATTTGATAATCAATATTAAATATTAAAAGCTAAGGTATTCTGAAATTCGCAACTCGGGAAAAAATGTTATATAATCGACATATTATATATAGTATATATATGTACATAATTTTATATATAAAAATTTTTTTCCCGGAAAATTAAAATACTACAGCAAGTTTCTGAAAAAACAAGTTAAAAAACTGTATCATTTATTTTGAATAATAGAATGTTTAAGATATACTCGTAAAGTTTAAAACTGACCAATTCCCAGATAACATTTATGGTGCATAAGATATCTAAAAGACGTCTTTTAGATATCTTATGTCTAAAATATGTCTAAAAGACGTCTTTTAGATATCTTATGCAACATGCATGTTATCTGAGTTATAGATTACAATTAAATAGTCGTTTGTCGTTTGTCCATGAATCGTCACGCGCGATCACTATAATTATATCGATGCACGACTCATGGACAAATAATCGTTTAACTGTAATCTATAATTGGCCAGTTTTACACCCTTGTATCTCAAAAACTACTACTCGGAATGATAAATGGCAAATATAGTTTTTAACTTCTTTTTTTGAAACTTTTTTGCTGTAATGTTATTTGCAAATTTTGGAATATCTTATATATAAGCAACAAGAGCGATAACGAATGTTATAATTCAGAATTCAAAATTGAAAATATAAAACATTTTTAATATTTACATGTGTGCAAAAATTTAATTATCCATATACTTACAAACAGCAGGTCATATTAAGGTATTAACAGCCTATTGTGTGTAATATATTACGTCGTGAATAATGTATGATTAATTGACTTTCGAAGTATAATATTTGTTATTGCTTGTTACTTTTATACATATATATAATTTCAATACAATTTTTTAACTCTGTTTAGTTTCTTTAATTAAAAAATAAAAAATAAAGAATCTTTATCTTAAATTTAATTAATATACAGAGGGTGTATCTAAAATACACTAATCATACAGTGCTATTCCTAATAAAAAACTGAGTCGAAAAGTCCTTTAGCATTTTGTAATTTTCGCAATAGTTAACAAGATATTAATTACTAAAAATCGCTGAATATTGGTTTTCAATCATTTTTTACTCAATTATTATCAACTTTACAGAAAAACTGCTAGAGATAAAAATTGTTTTTCTTCTCATAAAGTTATGAGAATTTTTTCAGAACTTTTTAATACCATACTTTCTCATGTTAGTAAAAATAAGAAAATGCAGTACTAAAAAGTTGATAAAAAATTCTGAAAAAATTCTTAGTTTTATGAGAAGAAAATAAATGATTTTTGTCTATTGCAGTTTTTTTGTAAAGTTGATAGTATTTGAGTAAAAAATTATTGAAAACCAATATTCAGCGATTTTTAGTAATTAATATCTTGTTAACTATTGCGAAAATTACAAAATGGTAGAGGACTTTTCGACTCAGTTTTTCATTAGGAATAGCACTGTATGATTAGTGTATGTTATTTCAGATATACCCTGTATAAGATTTATATTTTACGTATGACAGATATAAGAGGATATTTTTTCTTATGTCTGAATTATATTTTCTTTTTCACTATTTTGTTTTAATATTTCTCACAACAGAATATTCATTACTTTAATTAATATTGTCATTTTTGTTACTATATTTAGATTACAAATTGAAATTTCAGAAATGATATAAATTATATACATAGACTGTTTTATAAATGCATATTTACTTGATATTCATCCATAATTTCATCACAAACAATTTAATAAACTATATTTTATTAATTATATATAATTTTGAAGAATACTATAAAATACAAACATTTTACACTTGATAATTCACATTTTACACTTTTTTTTACTTTGTATTACAATTTGTAATACAATTAAACATTCTTCGGCTACATTTTATTTATTTAGTGAAGCTTCTTTTCCTTTGTATAAAATTTTATGGAAATAGAACGATTGAATGATTTATAATTATCACGAATTACTTATGCGTTATCTGTGATTTAGCTTGCACGGTTTTCCTCCGATATGCAACTAACAATATGGATATTATAATTATATCAAGCCGGAAGACAATCATGGATAATTTAGAAAATACATAATTATTAAATTAATAAACTAACAAAATAAGATGACAATTTTTTAATAAACATGTTTATATTCAAATAACATAATAATTACGTTCCAACATCCTGTAGTATATGTTTCATTGCGTATTCTTTATTATATAAATAATTTAGTCACTGAATAAAAAAGGCAATATCATCTAACATTTCATGATTTCATCTTTCGCTCCATGCGTATCTGCTGTACAACGTTATAATATGTACATATAAGTTTGCTCTTTATATATTCTCTTCTTTTTCGAAGAAGAGAGAACAACTTTTTTTCCGAGAAAATACTCTAGTTACATTCTGTACATGTGTATGTATAATTTCAAAAATATTTTTTTTTGACATTTTTCATCACATCACTCACTATATTTTCACAAAACTATTCTTTACAACTGTGTCAGCATGTGATTTCTGAAAAATACGACAAACTGCTCCAACACATAAATTAACTGCAGGAATAAGTCTTGGCAGTTGGCACTTGGCAGGAATGTCTTCAAAAGGCAAAAGCGATGGCCACTTCATTCCCGCTCTTCATTCATCACATGTGCACTACCTTCGGTGTGCTAAAATAATATATCACATAATAATAATTTTACTTATAATGCTTTAAATTAAGAAGCGCCATAACGGTCAGAACGTTAAGATGTTCAACTATTATAAATTCATTTAAATGAATTAATTTCAGAAATTATAATTGCGTGC